CTGGACCTGGATCAGTCCTGGTTCAGTCCAGCATCACAGTCACTGAAGTCATGTAAACGGGAAACGGTCGTTATCTGTTTTTTCCATTTTTCATTTAAACACAAAATCTGAAAACTGAAAAAATGTATCAGTATCTGTTTTTTCATTTTGGTTTTGGAGACAAATAATGATGAAAACTGTTGTTTTTTCATTTTTTTATGTTTGGTTTTATATTGAAAAACGAATGAACGACTGATACGTGGATTCAGGACACAGACGAGTACAGAAGTGTTCAGAGTCACACAGGGTTCAGCTCCAGTCAAATGAAGCTCATCGAGGCTGCGGTTACAGAGCGAATCTGGAGTCGAGTTCTGTACTGAATTTTTTAAAGCAGTGGTTCGTAGGATTGGGCAGTGTCCAAATTTTGACACCATTAAACCACCTCAGGGGTTTACAGTTTTACCATTTCACCTCTGTACATCTGTGTGTACACACTCTGACACAGAGAGAGAACACCCCTCTGACACAGAGAGAACACCCCTCTGACACAGAGAGAACACCCCTCTGACACAGAGAGAACACCCCTCTCACACAGAGAGAACACCCCTCTGACACAGAGAGAACACCCCTCTGACACAGAGAGAACACCCCTCTGTCACAGAGAGAACACCCCTCTGTCACAGAGAGAACACCCCTCTGTCACAGAGAGAACACCCCTCTGACACAGAGAGAACACCCCTCTGTCACACAGAGAGAACACTCATATTCCAGCACACAAGGAAACAGATGTTTTTATCAGAGTTTACAGTTTATGTAAATGAGTCATAAGTTTTGGTTCTTTAAACACATGTGTCAAAGTTGTAGAAGTACAAGTATTTTTTGGGACCGTCTCTTGTGGTTGGACTTGTTGTTACGGCTCCAGGTTTGCAGTTGTAATTTGCTTTGTGTGTTTTAAAATATTTTTCTGGCACGATTTGATTCCTGCTGTGGGAGTCCTGGCTTGTGATTGGTGGAGCAGGTCTCCGCCCACCTCACCTGCAGACTCCGCCCCCTGTGTAAGAGGATGACCTGCACCTGATCGGGGCTGCTGGTCTTGGTGGCCAGTCAGACACTTTGTGTTTGCAGTGTTGTGGAGTAACAGATTACATGTACCAGAGTAATCAGAGTACAAATGATGAGTAACTGTATTCAGTTACAGTTACTGTTTCAGTGAGTGGTAATTGGATTACAGTTACTTTGTTGAAATAAATCGGATTAAACAGAGGGATTTAACTGTTTTCACATTTTGCGCTATACCCTTTTTTTTTTTTTTTTTCTTTTTTCTGTAATTCCACTCATTCCCGGAAACTAAACCAGGACTAAACTAGATCTCAACCAGGTCTTAACCAGGATTAAAACCAGGATTAAAACCAGGTCTAAAACAGGACTAAATTAGGACTAAAACAGGACTAAAACCACAACTAAACCAGGTCTAAACCAGGTCTAAAACAGGATTTAACAGGACTAAATCCTGCTGTGTGGACGTGTTTCTTCTTCTTCTATCAATAATATTTTTAATATGTTTAAGTAAAGTCTGGGCTTTTTATTTTCTTTTATCAGACAAAACTTCTTATGTGAAGATTTCCTCATCTTTGTTTCTCTACAACAAATCAAGTAATCCAAAGTAATCAGATTACATTACTCACTTTAAGTAATTTAATGAATTACATTACAAACTATATTTTGGAGTGTGTAATCTGTAATCTGTAGGGGATTACATTTTAAAAGTAACTTTCCCAACACTGTGTGTTTGTGTTCGTGTGTGTAGTTCTGTGGCTTAGTTCTGTTTTGTGTCTTTTTTTATTTGGTCACTCGATTCTGTTTGTGGGTTTATGTGGTTTAATTTGGGGAACGTTTTCTGTGACCGTCCAGACACAGAGTCCAGACGGCTCTGAGGATGAACAAACACCCGTAACACTTTATAAAAATTACACCTTATTTAGCCTTAATAAAGCATGAACAAAGACTTAATTAATAATGAACAAAGACTTAATTAATAATGATTCAGGCTGAGTAACTACTTAATTACTGCCTTAATTAGCACTTGCACTTCATTTGCCTGTGCTGTAAATAATTACTCATAATTATTTAATACTTAATTACTCATGAACTAAACATTTGAGCATTTATTAATCATTAGTAAACTATGAGAGAATGATTTACTAATAATGTAATTCAATGATCATTCAGGCAGCGTTTATCTGTTAGTTAAATCTTTTTGAGAGATTTTCTAAAGTGAAGACAAATTATGCTTTATTAAACATTTACTAAGTGTGAATCATTGTTAATTAAGTCTTTGTTCATTATTAATTAAGTCTTTGTTCATGCTTTATTAAGGCTAAATAAGGTGTAGTTATTATAAAGTGTTACCCAAACACCTGAACTCGCCTGGACTGAGGAAGTAAATGTGGAAGAGAAAATTATTTTTGGGCCCATGAGCCGATGACACAAACCCTGAAAACAACTCGACATGTTGGGTTCACGTTTATTCACAGAGTCTGAACCGCTGGAGCTGAAAACGAGGAGAGAGCGACAAAATGGAGTCTTGAAAATAAGAGATTAAAGATTCGTCAAACACAAATGACTCCGGATCAGCGTTGGGAGGTTCGGCGTCGAGGGGGAAACCGCTGTGACCCGGAGCT